GCCCCCTTCTCTCCTCTCCCTCTCCCCGCAGGCGGGCTGCACTACGAGCTGACTGAGGGGGATGTCATCTGCGTGTTCTCGCAGTAAGTGTCGCAGCCCCCCGGGCCCGCCGAGCCCCCGCCGTTGCCCCGGTGCTAAGAGTGTGTCGCAGGTACGGGGAGGTCGTCAACATCAACCTGGTGCGGGACAAGAAAACCGGGAAGTCCAAAGGGTTTTGCTTTCTGTGCTATGAGGACCAGAGGAGCACCATTCTCGCCGTTGACAACTTCAACGGGATCAAGGTGAGCTGAGCGGCCCGGGACGCGGCCCTGCCGTGCCTCCTGAGATGCTGTGTCACGGCAAGCAGCAGCCCTGACAGCATGGGTCGCTGGTGACCAGCAGCGTGTGGGGAGCTCTCTGTGCTGTCGCTGATGGCGTCGCTCCTCTCACAGATCAAAGGAAGGACCATCCGCGTGGACCATGTGGCTAACTACCGGCCCCCCAAAGATTCCGATGACTTGGATGATGTTACAAAAGCCCTCCACGCAAAGGGTTGTGGGGTAAAAACACCGCCTCATACGTCATCCGATTCCCTGTCAGAGGATGAGGATGTGCCCGTAAAGAAGCAGAAAGGTGAGGAGTGTTCCTGCAGGTCTTGACCCTGCGTGGGAGTGTGTGCACAGAGCCCTCGGCCTTGACACGGGCCTTTGCTCAGGGGAACACAGAGGACGGGTGTGCTCTTGAAGAGACCCGCAGCCCTCGTGCCCGGGATTTACTTTGTGATCTCCCGATCGCTCTGAGTGCACAGAGGAGATGCACGGAAATTAGAGAGGCAAAGGAGAGCAAAGAGGGGAAGGAATCGTTGGGTCTGGAGGAGAGAATTCCCGTGGAGTGGATCACGGTGTTCCTATTGCATGGGTGTTACTGGGGAGAGAGAAGGAAGGGAAGGCGCTCGATATTCCAGCTGTGGAGAGGTGCCTGAGGGCAGACTTGCTGGGCAGAGCGCCATGTGGCGAGTGTTAAAGAAGGAACTAGGGCGGCTCAGGTAAAATGTCGGGGTTGGAAGTGGAATAGGATCTCTCTGGGGGGAGTGTAAACAGGTGGGGAAGTGTGGGTGGAGGGGGGAGAAGCTGAAACAGGAGTGGGGCTGGAAGGGTGCTGTGGTGCTGGGCAGAGCTTGGGGAGCTGAGGTGCTGCTTGTACGGCTGTCCATCCCAACTGGTGAACCTTGCATTTCAGATAAGGAGAGGAGCAGGCAGGAACGGCCAAAGCAGAGCTCGCAGGCTGCGAAGAGAGCGGCGTCCGCAGAGGAGGTGCACCCCAGAGTGAAGATTAAGAAGGAGAAGGAGGAC